CCTAAAGGATCCCAAACATGGAACCTCCCGATAATCCCCTAGCTTCCCCAATGTAGTAATGGGGATCATTTTGGGGGGGTCCATTTTCTGGATCCTAGGCCCCAAACCCGATATGGGGGAGGGTTCCATTTTGGGATCCTTTAGGGGGTCTGGGTAGGGTAATGCCCGCAGGTTGGCTGAAAGATGTGCCTTTCCGGTGAAAACCACGGCTATCCGCTTGTGAGGATGTTGTGCTTGGGGTTCAGGGTAATTCCCCCGAAGGTTCAGATCCCTACAGGTTGCCCCTTCAATTCTTTGACTGAGAAATCTGCACGTTTCAGGCTTGGTTTCTGGGTCAACCCCCTTTGGAGCCTCTTCCCTGAACCCTAAACCCATGTAGGACATCTCCAACTGAGGTCCTAGCGCGTGACAAGACTAAAGCCTGGGCAAATACCAGGATGGCCCGGGGAGACTGATTGGCATAGGGTCCAGGTTTGGGGGGTTTAAGGTTTAGGGTTTTGGGGTTTAGGGTCTTCTTAGCCCCGTTCGTAGTCACTATATTCTCACCCCCATGGCCCCTATGTTCTATCAATATCTCTGAGCACAACAGTGAGTTCTGTGACGTGCTGCGAGGGTGTCATAAGGAGATTACCAATGAGCTGTGAGTCAACTTGTTTGGGAAAGCCTTTTCTGCCACAAAACCCACCTTTGAAGCGAAACTAACAAAGCCTCAACTACTAGTCGACCCTCAGATTTAAGGACCCAAGTACACCCCTTAGTACTACCCCCGAGGCTTCCACATAACTATTGATATAAGATTTAGATATTCAGTGCCAACTAGGGCTACCCCCTGGAGCTGTGAGGAGGTAGTACAGTGGGGGGGTGTGGTTAGGGAACGCATCAGGAAACCCTGAACCCTAAAAGCAGGCCTGCTATGAAGGTTGCCACTGCCATGATCATGATAACCTTGGTCCAGCCCGGAAATGGGGGTTACGCCAGGTACCCGAAGTGAAGAGGAATCGCAATAGTTTTCCCTACTATGGCTATGGGTAGAAAAGTGCTGTTATTGGGTATGGACTTCTGTTCTCTTAAGGGATCACATGCCCATTTCCCAAGCTGAGGGTGTTTCTTGTGCTCGCGAAAGATGAAAGCATATTTGACCCTAAGGGTCCAAGGACCCGAATAATAGGGTTTTAGGGCCCAAATACTATAATACCAAGGACCCTTACGGTGATAGAGGCCCCGAAAAGGAACTCGTACCCCCAGGCCAGGGAATCCCGATATAAGCACGATCGAAGAAGCCACATATTTTCTGTAGTCTCCTTAGACGGATGATGAAAATAAAGAGCTCAAGAATTCATTAGGGTTATACTACAACAAGAATAAAAGAATTTCAGAGGAGACTACAGTTTGCAGGGCATGCAGCCGCGGTAGATGAGAGTCAACACTATTGACGCCCTGAGTCTGAAAGCTCTTGACAGGAGCTAGGACGACCTTGCCTACGAAGAACAGACTTCTCCATTCAAACTCGTGGAGACCCATATTCCTGAAGATCATTACATAACTTCACGGGTAAAACACATCCCGGAAAAACCAACAGGCTGCGTTCAAACACATCAAACGCAACAGGCATGTTTGCAAGCTGGGTGCCCGAACCACTGTCGAAATTTATCTTCCAGCCTCTAGTTCTGCCCAAATTGATAAGGCCCTGCTGTACAAACCACCATGTAAGGTGAGGTCGGGTAATGTCGTCACATTTTGCGCAGCCAAATTCTGCAAAGACAAGCCTTCTAAACTTCAACAACTTACCTTTGGTTAGTAGGGAATTAGGGAATATACTCCCTTTACAATCCCCATATAATTAAGTATGTTCCCATGTTCCCTAGTAACCCCAAATACAAGCATCGTGCAAAAAAGTCCTGCTTCCATGTGACAACAGTGACACAGCGCATTGCCATCAGAACAGCCTTTGTTGTGAAATTTGGCAGGTGGTTGCAAGGGCTCATGAACGAAGATGTGAAGGATATGTCAAATGTCATAGGTTAGTTCTGACAGGACTTACGAGCCGGATGTCGCTGCACGCATGGCCCATGTGAAGCATAGCATCCGAAGAGTATGTGCCACAAGGTCTGGGACAATTAGAGATGTACCAGCAGCGCGCGAAAGCAGACAAGTTTTTGGTTGATCGGCTTGACACGCAATCTACACGCCACAAATGCCTACACTTCTCAAGCGGATACCTCTCCGCTTGGACCACCTCATGCGCCTAAAAGAATTCTTAGCTTGCATGTCATGTCCATCTGCTTGTCCAATCGATGTTCCATTATCGGGGTTACCTAGGGACGCCTTCAACCCTAATCCCTAAACCCCTGCGCCCTAAACCCCCTAAACCCTAAACTGTAAACCCTGAACTAAGAAGCGCTGCTTGACGCTTGTTCTTTTGGCTTGCGCTGTCATGCTTCCTGCTCCGAGGTAACGTCCCCAAAGTGGATTGAACAATGATCTTGGGCGTATAGGGTTTAGGGTTCGGGGTTCAGGGTTTCATATACATGAGGGTAAGGGCCTGAAGAATTAGAACAGCGTTTTTGAGCCATATTGTACTGTAGCTACACAAGGGCTATAATATACGTAAGTTGTAACTGGGTAACACTACTAATCGTTCTGGCTTCTACATTAGTCGTAAACTCGCAGCTGTGCCCCTGACGCACTGTAGATAAGTCAAAGCGGAGTAGGGTGCGCTTCTTGCAGCCAACAATGTCTAGGGTATAGGATGTAGGGTCTAGACGCTAGACAGTCCCGCTTACTTGAGCAGGTCCTTGTGCACGCAGAGCGGGGAGTGCAAGTTGTCTATTGTCCATGAGAGAACCCAATTTTTTATAAGAGATCCCAATGTTTATAAGAGATCACATCCCTAATATGGTCTCTTAGACTAAATTGGTGGAAGCTTCAGCACACGGAACCTCATCACGAAACAATTTCGACCCCAAACCCTCATGCCTCATGCCTTAACCTTTATATCCAACCTATCCACCCTAACCACCATGGATCAACCTCATGCCAAGGGAGGCCAAGAGCTTTGGGATCCCGATGATATTATAGTCCCCCTTGAGTAGATAGAATACGGCTTAGGGGTTATATAGGATAATGGAAAAGAAAATGGAAATTACTATTTAGGGTTTAGGGTCTAGTCCCCCTTAGGTAGATAGAATCTGGATTTGGGTATATTATAATAAGATCCCCATATAGCCCATATTCTATACCCTATATAACCCATAATAGTAATTTCCATTTTCTTTTCCATATACCTCATATAACCCCAACATACCCCTAATATTACCCCATATTCTATCTACTTAAGGGGGACTATACCTGCATTCAGAAGTTTGAGACCAACGACTCCAAGCTTAGGAACCAGGACACCTACCCTCAACGTTTAGGGTTTAGGGTTTGGTTTCCCAGAATTCGGGATTATGGGGATATATCGGGATAATGGAAAATGGAAACTATTGTTTGGGAAGTTTAGGGTTCAGAGTTTAGGGCTTAGGGTTTCCAAACAAAATCAGGGTTCCATCTGGGGATCCCCATGACAAGGATTATTATATGTTGGGGTCTATATTGAGGTCCCCTTATGTTGGTAAGCTACCTTACACAGTCCCGCTAAAGTGGGCCGATGGCTTCAGGGAGAACCCCTATGCCCAGCCAGGGTGCATGGAAAGGTTGCGCCTTCGGCGTCTTGACCACAGCAGAGTGGATGAGCCTGAGTCCTAAACCCTAAACCCTTAACCCCTAAACCGTAAGCCCTAAACCCTAGTCTTTTAAGGTAACCGCTTTGACAAAGCGCATCGTGCGGTTGCAAGCTTCTGGCTTCGGGGTTGTCACCCAGGAACTCGAAACCCCTTTGGCGGGCCCATGGTTAGCTGGGAATGAGTGAATAGAAAAGAAAATGAAAACTACTATGTGGCTATGTAGGGTTTAGGGTTTAGGGTGGGGCATGAAGGAAATGAAAAGAAAATGAAACCTACTATAATGGGGTTGTATGGGGTTATATAGGGACTACTATAAGGGACCATTTAAAAGGTTGCTGTGCTACTGCACAACTTATGGTAGAGCTCTCATCCAACAGGTATTGGGACTCTCCGCCTTCAAGGACATTTGTATAGGTCTTTCCTAAACCCACCCCAAGTCCTAAACCCTTTGAAAACTTGAATCCTGCGAGCTTCGGGCTTGCTATATCCCATATACCCCGTATTCTATACCCTAAATCACAATAGTTTCCATGCTCTTTTCCATTATCCCCATACAACCCAAATATAACCCCAATATTGTAGTGGCTTCCATTTTATTGTTCATTATCCTAATATCACTTCAGGCCTCTGCTGTTCCCAAGCTCGACGAAGTGCTGCTGCGCAGGTATGCTGGCTGCCAAAGCAAAAGGCCTGAACCCTGAAGTTGAAAAAATTAACACACCCAGCAGCAGGACGATGTGGAGCCAAAGAAATGGCAAGAACTCCTGCTGCAAGTGAGGCTAGGAGAAGGGCGTTCTTCCTCAGGGGGTCTCCCTGTGGTTTATGCTCTGGTCTCTACCTGCAGGCATATGAGCCATAGTCTAAGCCCCTGAATAACCCCTGTAATGGACCCCTGCATAATCCCCTTCAAGGCGTTTAGACTATAGCTCATATACCCTGCCCTTTTGGGGTGGCACGGCATCGTCAAGATCAGTGTAAGCTTGTTAATCTTAGCTACGGCTAAGGCTTCAAGTTTAGGGTGTAGGAGAAGGTCACCGACCCACACGGTCCTTTGGCATCATAAAATGTCTTCGGCACTACACGGGCTTGAATAATCGTAGTCTTGCGAGCAAGTCATAATATGATCATGTGTGAGCGAGCAAGGAACAATAAGCTGCCACTTCTTCCGGCCGCCAGTGCCAGAACATTTCTTGAAATTACTGGGTTGCTGTTAAGGCATTCTGAACTAACTATATTCAGAAATCGCCATTATTTAGCATATACCCATGATATAACTTACACTCCTTAACAGCAAACCAGTTTAGGGTCCCCTTTTCGGCCAAGGACACTCAGACATGCATCACTATGAACTGTAAGGGCCCCCAACTCTGTGTTATATCCACCTCAGGGCGACTCTCTGGGTTGTTGTTAAGGCACTTGACATAATTAAGTCACCATAATACGGGTCCATAATAATAGGGTTTCCTTATTACAGGAATTGAGTTCAAGGTCTTTAACAGCAACCCAATAACTTTTGGAAAGCCCCTATAAACCACCATGTAGCCCCAGCTTCTATTTTTCTTTTCCACGTGACCCTTTTTTGAGCCCAGCTTGACCCTGAACCCTAAGCAATTGCAGGACCATGTGGGAAACGAGGCAGCTTTTCCAAGCCTAAACCAGGAGCCCTAAACCGTAAACCCTAGACCATAAACCCCAAAGCCGAATAACTCCTAAACCAAACTCAGGGGCCAGGGATGCTTCCTAGCAACCTTGACCTCACTGTCACTTACTGATGCTTAAGGGGGAGCGGGGGATGAGTATAGGCACCATTTACAGGGGTTTAGGGTTTAGGTTCCACAGGGGCATAATCCCCATCTACGGTGTAGGGTTTAGGTGAATATAGGTACCATTATGGGGGTATGTATGGGTTTATAGGAGGATTATTATAAGGATCCACACCCCCTACTTTATCTTAAGCACTAGTTGGGAATAGATGCCGGGCTCGGCAGGTTTTGGGGAGCAGGGTTCATCAAACGGAGGTTTCCAAAGCTATGACAAAAACATGTTTTTTTTTTTGGTGGTGGAAGGGGGGGGGGGTGGTTCCCATACTAAGGGCTTTAGTGTTTTCGGGTTATATTGGGGTCCCCATATTTTGAGAAACTACCGAATCTTCGTTGTACCCAAAAGCCTAAGCCGTGTAGATGCCTACACTCTGCACTCTACGAATGGATGTGCGACCAGGCGACATTGCCGGCCCGGGCCAATGTGTCCACAGCGGGCAAAGCCATGAAGTGGTTGAGGGCAAGACAAAAGTTCATGACAGCCTAAGAACAAATTTTGGGGTTAAGGGCTTGACTGCTTAAGAAAAGCTTCCGTGCAAGGTGTTTCAGGCTTCTGTAATGTTGGGCCGGGCTCAGCAGCAGCTACAGTGCATGCGGCCCAGGCTACTATCTCCCGGGAGTTGTGCTGGAAGAAAACATGGCAAGGAGTGTAATTCTGCAAGAGTCCTGCAGGAATTTTGCTGTGCAAGAATGCGTGGATGTGAACAAACATGTGGCACGAAAAGCAGGTCAAGCGAGTCCAGCAAGCGTGGGAGTGAGTATTGTGAGTTCTGTGCTTGTTGTTCTGTTGATGTTGACGACAGGGCGGGCGGCTGCTGCTGCTGCCGCCGCTGCTGCTACCACTACCACTGCCACTAATTTTACCACCGCAACGGGGGCGGGCCCGGGGGTGGTGCAGGTGCACAAAAAAGAACCTTCATGTTTGTTTGATGATTCGCTACCGTGCTTGCTATTTCAAGAAGGGATGGCAACTGCACCTGGAAGCGGCAGCGCAGCTTTAACGACACACACACACACACACTGTTGCACAGACACTTGCCCAATACTGAGTCATCCGTCTGGAAACCTTGGTGGTGCGCAGGAAGTCCGCCACTGGCTATATATGTACCTAGCAGAATGATGGCCTAAGCCGGGAGCCATGAGCTACTGGGAACATGCTCCAACCAGCAGCCCGGAAAGAAAAGACGTTCAAACACTTAACGGGCAGGTCTACATGAACCCAAAACAAGCTGGCTTCCATCGAGCCACAACCACGGACACGATGCAGTAGAGGTGGATGAAAACGATCCCTCTGACCTCGGAACTTTGACAGGCAAGTAACTGACTCCGCCGGGCTACAGCCTTGGAACTGACCTGCCCCCAAAAAGACATGCAGCGTGTGATGTCAGCTTTTCCGTGGTCTCGCCGCAGAGCAATTTGAGGAAGGAGTTGGAGCCCAATTGGCCCACATCTTTCATGGATGCTACTTCCCATCCGTACCCTTCTAACCTGGAAAGATACATTCCATACGGACTGTCGCTACACCCGCAGCCGGCTAACTGGATGTACGACATGCTCTGCCTTGCAATCAAGAGGCCACATTCAAGCATCAAACCATCACACAAAACCTCACGCCCGAAGTCTTTCGTGCTTATACAGTCTAAACACCACATCCATCCTAAAGCACAGCCGAACCTCACAACTTGAACCTCGAAGCCGTCCAATCAACCCGACATGCTGCAACTGCATTTTCTATTTCATGTTCCATCTCCTTTGCCATGCGACGCTCCTGCTGGCAATTACGTACCCCAAAAACGCTGAAACCTGAAATCTTGCAAAGCCAGGAGCTGAAAACGTCCTGGACTCCGGGGGGGTGTTGCTCATAAATGAGGTTCCCCTGGCCTGGACACATTAGGCTCGCGAATTGCTGCGAGGGTTTTGCACATGGTTTTGAGGAACTAGGACAAAGTGGTGTATGAGGTTTCTACCTCTAACTCCCAGATTTCGGGCAGCCTGCATATATGGGATCCAACTTGAGCCCTGTGGGGGGGAAGCACGTAAAGGCTACCGGCACAGAGGGTTCCAAAATGCAACGAGCTGCCCAGACCTTGTCCAACAGTAAAACTTGACCCTGAACCCTAAACCCTAAAACCCCAAACCCTAAGCCCCAAACCCTACACCCTAAACCCTAAACCCTAAATCCTGAACCGTAAACAATACAACCTTCAGCCTGGCGCAAACCTGAGTCTTGCTCCTGGCATCCTGAACATGAGTAGCTGTAGGCAGGGCGAATCACAACTCTTGCCATCCTGCTAAGGGTTTAGGGTTTAGGTGCTTGTGACTACTCATGGTCCCAAACCTGAAGCACCCAAGCCTGAACCCTCCGCTGGAAACTGAAGGACCCAACATATCAAGTAGTCAATGTTGTAGCTAACCCCATCGATTCTTGGAAACCCCATCTAAGAGCCCATGTACTGCGCCACCCTAATAACAAAGCCTCCCACCCCTGAATAATGACTGTTCCCCATAGAATACCGTTCTACAACAAGGGGACTGTCTGTTTTGGGGGGGTCGGAATGTTTTCCACTAGTAGGCGAGGGGACTAGAAACCCTAAACTTCCTAAACCCTGAAAAGTGCCTGTCCCCCAACCCTAAACCCTAAATCCCACACCCTAAACCCTGAATCCCACACCCTAACCAGAGGACGGGGTGCCTGTCCCCCAAGGTGGTTCAGGGCTGCCAAATAGGCCAGGCCAAATTGTTCGTCCTGCAGGTTGAGAAAGGTGTAGGCTTTAGGTCATAGGGTTTAGGTCATGGTGTCGAGGATTCGAGCTTAAAGCTCAGCACATGGTTTCGGAGAAATTTCAGGAATTTAGGGGCTTAAGGTTTAAAGTTTGACCCTAAACCCTAAACCCTAGCCCTAGATGTTCAAGGGAGTAGTGTTCGAGAGATTTGCACTTCAGGAGTCTGGGGTGTCTGGCGGACTAGGTTTCCAGGTTGAGATCGCAACGGAGACTTTTTATACTAATGTAGACCCCTGATTAATAAACCCCCTCCTTTTGAAGGGGAGCGGTGTTTTTTAATGGCGGGTCTTCGTTACTTAAGAATATCACTATTGCTATTGCAGGTGTTACTAGTACCAGTGCCACTGTTACCACCATTACGATTACCATTACGATTGTGATGACGACCGCTCTTGCTATGGGTATCGCGATCACTAATACTAGCCCTCTTACTAATACCATTGCTATTTCTCTTACGATCTCTAGTATGCTTACTATTAATGCTATTACTGATTTCACTCTCAGCATGAGTTTGAGTTTGATGGGGAATCGGTGCGCTTGGAGCAAAGCACCTGGGGATACATGGGGATAATAACAGATTCTGTCTGGATGCACGGCTTCACGTTTGGGGTTCCGGAGTTAACGTTTACATTTGAGTGGGTGCAGAGCTTTGGGTTCTAGACCGCTTCGAGGGCCAAAGTTTCACCAGAGGCAGGGTTTTTGTGGTCCCAAAGATGTCCCATACCATGTACACAAAACCTTCATCACTCTGGCAAAAGAACCCTCCCAGTATGTGTGTGCGTATGTATAATTACTCACAAGGCACAAGACAAGCCCTGCAAGAAGACTCCACTTTGAATCTACATCGCCTTTACACCTATGCATAAATGCCACAAGTCCTAGGCTGAATGCAGAACTCCCCAAAGTCATCGCCCGGTCCTTCCACATGATCACCTCGAAACAAGGAAGTCTAAACCATCCTTACCTAGAAGGCTCAAGGGCTTAGGGTTTAGGGTTATGGTACCTAAACCCTAAACCCTAAACTGGTGAAAGGGCAGCTGAAGCAACCCACAGCGGTTTTTGCTTCATTTATGCTATGGCAAGTGGTCTCCTCAACTTCAACGTACCCACCAAACAACGAAAAGTTACAGGTAGTAAGAGGAGAAAAAAGGAAAACAATCCTTATGAATCCTATATAATCTCTATATAAGAAAATGTCAAATTCCCGTATTCCCTACCCCTACTGACTACCAGCAAGACAAGTTTCCAAAAATTTGGGGAGTGGGAGTCCCCGTTTTCCACAAGGACTTTAGCATATTAGGTGGCATGTAGGGTGGACCGCGTTCATTTTGAAAACTCCCGTGTCTGTCGTAATGGGTCTTGGCATTGAGTTTTGTTCTGGGCCTGTCCCGGGAGAACCCTCCTGGCAGAATGCTGCTTAACTTTCCAGATCTCGATTGGACAGTCATGGGTAGAACTAGATATGAGGTACAGCCAAAGTTCCCCCTGAAAGTGCATGGACATGGGTTCCTTACCAAGAGGGACCACCCCTACCTCCACTGTTAAGCGTCCCTGAATAAGGCTAATATTGACCGTAGCCCTTGTGGATTTCAACCTAACCTAGGTCGTTCCAACATCTTTTGCCCGGTTCTAACTAAAAACCCATGAACTTCTAAGCATTGAGTGGCACCATGGATTCTTGAACGCAACCAAGATTTCCAAAGCCTCTAACGCCCACAGCCGGCCTTACACCCTAAACCCTAAACCCCATCTCCCTAGATCTTTGAGGATTGCGTTATAGTCCCCCTTAAGTAGATATAATATGGGGTATATGGGGATCTTATTATATATACCCAAATCCAGATTCCATCTACCTAAGGGGGACTAGACCCTAAACCCTAAATAGTAATTTCCATTTTCTTTTCCATTATCCCTATATAACCCCTATAATTCTATCTACACAAGGGGGAGTTTCCAGCTGATACTTCAAACTGCAGACCTCAAAGCCTCAGTCTAGGAAAGCCCGAATTCCGCCCTCAAGTTCGGAGGGGTCTAGGGCCTTGATTTGGGTTTAGATTTATCAGGGTCTAAATCTAGGGCTAGAGACCTTCTATGCAGGCAGCTTGTGAAGCATTCTACTTGATTAAGCTCCCTCTGGACTACTTCTTCAATTTTGGCACATACGCAGGATATCAGAAATACAACGCTGCACGACACTGCGCACCTCGATCCAAGCATTTGAGCAAATGTACGAGCCTGATGTAGGCATATGAGCGACTGTGAAAAACAATAAACCATATGTGGCCCCTACATTCACCATCTGGCTAGGAAGATGAAGGCGGAGAGGGATGGAGAGCGAGGGAGAGATACCCTAAACCCTAAACCCCAAACCCCAAACAGCTGTTTCCATTTTCTTTTCCATTATCCCTACATAGCCCCTATAATTTCATCCACTTAAGGAGAGAGAGGGAGAGGGAGAGGGAGACCGAGGACTGAAACGAATTCATGGAGCCAGGCACCATCCTCAACAATTTGAAAACAAGGCCTGGGTGGCAAACACCTGAACAGCCCACAAATTAATACAAGCCAGGGTTTCCTAAGAATGCTTTACTATACTATAATATACTATTATCCACGATACAATAATGTACTAATACATACCATACTATAATATGCCATGGTCTTTACTTAAAAAGTGTCTCCTTCATGCTTGCGCCTGAATCATTCCGGACCCAAGTCGCTGAGAGGCTGCTTGCTATGAGGTAGAGGACAGAGCCCACGGTGAATAGCAAGTTGCTTTCAGCTCCCATGTGTGGCCAAAACCTGAGGAAAGGGTTTAGGGTTTAGGTCTGTGGGGATTGCAGGTTCTGGTGTTGGCTAATGCTTTGGCCCTGACCTCTAATTTTCTGCAAGGACGAAGTCTACTACACCTAAGCTCAGTGATCAGGCTTCCTGACCTTCCTCACACCCCACCAGCCCCTAGAATCGCCGATGGCTCCCGTAATGTAGACTCCTGATGAATGAACCCCCTCCCCTGAATAGGGACTAAGATAAATATGAATAAAGATCCTAATATTGAGGCCCTAAGGGAAGGTTTATTATTACCGTGGATCTACAGTATGTTCCTGTGCACTTCTTTGTAGGTGCAGGGCAGCGTTTGAAGTATGACCTGCTGTTTCTCACAATCGTACACTGTTACTCTTGCTATTCCTATTACGATTACTACCGTCATTACTATGACTATTGCTATTTCTATCATTATTTGAATATCTAGGTACCCTGTGTCATAACCATAGAGGGAATCTAGAAGCATAGCATTGGCAATTATTTAGGCGTCAGCGGTAAGTCCTTGCCTCCGGAGTTTCCAAAGTCTCTGTGGATTTCTTACGCGCGGGGGAATCTGGTGCGAGCCCCAAGTACGTGTCCAAAAAAATTGAGGACCGAACGGCCGAGATTGCGCATACAGCGCCTTAAGCTAGCATGGAAGCTCATATAGGTCCCGTGCTAGCAAGGAAAGTACTGCAACCCTAATCCCTCCAATGCTTGGGGTGTGTTGGGTTTGAAGCCAACCTTATCGCTTTTGGCTCCTTCCAGGTCTACGAAGTCTGCGAAATCCGTTCAACCTGCAACATGAACTATAGTCTAAACTTCTAGTAACCCCCTTAATAAGCCCTGTAATACTCCCCGATATAATCCCCTGTCTAAACCTTCTTTAAGGAGTTGAGACTACAGCTCAAATCATGAACCCTTGGAGGCTGCAGATTCTTGTATTTCTCAAGACTAGCGCTGCATAAGTAAATCCTGAAAGGGATTGCCCTACTTTTCTTGCAGTTATGCCATTTCCCGGGGCGGGCAAAGAATTTCCAGGACTCCATCCAACCCCAAAAGGTTGTGCGATCCCTGTAGCATTTCAAAGCACTCATACTCATACCGAAAACTTTTCGAGTTCTGGGCCCCTGTATTCCATTTCATGATCCATGTTCTTTTCCTTCTGAGTTCCGTTTGTTCCTAAAACTTCTAGAACTTTCCAATTCATCTTTGCTTTTCTTTCCGATTTGATTCTCCAGTGTTCTCATCTCATATTCCATGTTATTGCCACCTTTGCTTTTCCATCATTATCCATTATTCCGAAGCCTTTCAGGAGTTGCCCCTTTCATGTTCCATGTTCTTGCAAACTTTAGCCATGCGCTTCCCCATCATTCCCAGACCGTGCAGACTTTTCCGGAGCTCAAAGGTTTTGCATGGGGCACATTGTGTGGAAGATGATGCAAACATGACTTAGTCCCTTGCAAAATTTCCATGCCCAGAAGAAAGAATGATCCATAACGGCCCTAACAGGAACCCAAAGTAGGAGGAAGTAGGAGACGAAGCGGCATTGCAGACCTTACACCGCCAAGGGAGAATCAGTATGTCTGCGTTCAGTTAGCCTCTTGCCCGATTACGGCCAGTAAGGTCTGCGTCACAATTAGTGGTTTCCATTCTCTTTTCCATTATCCTTATATAACCCCAATATACTACAGTAGTTCCATTTTCTTTTCCATTATCCCTATCTTACCCCATATAGGCCAGGGCTTAGGGTTTAGGGAACCAGGCATCGCAGCCTCCATCAAACCCAAATCCCGAATAAGCCCGATAACAGCGCTTCCCGGGATTCACGCCATCTTTCCCCGTACTAGGTTAGGGTACTCAGCAACAGGGAGGTCAGTTTTCTGAGCCCTCAGCTTTAGTCCCTAGACACAAACCCACTCACCCACACAGTATCTCCCAACTCCTGAGCAAGCAAGAGGCAAGATAAAGCCCCCAGCGCAGAAAAGGCAGCCTCCTGGTGAGGTTTGGGACTTCACGGCTCACACTTGGAGTTTTTAGCGCGGGTGGGACAGGTAAGTACTGAGGCCTCCTACACATGAACACTTCAAAATGGCAACATGCAGCGCCTCTTCGTCAATTTGTAAAGGACACTTTTGCTCTGGGAGGTATATGTCTGATGCCGGCTCAATTTCAGAAAAAGGAAGTTCTGTGTGTCTAGTGCAATGTAAGGCCCAAATGATTAGGATAGGATTTGAGGACCGATGTGAAAGAATAAACTTACAGTGCAAGTTTGACCTTGCAATTTTCGCGCTCTTACACTAGCGCTGCATCCATTTGTTTCCAACACGAGGACTGGCAGTGGACCATAAATCCCTGTATTATCCCAGTTTCCATTTCATTTGTCATTTGAGTCTCCATTGCAGGGGGGTAATCATCCCCTAAACTCTAAAGCATTCAAGTTGCTCAGGAGAATGTTTTGCAGGGTGGTCAGAGACTTCCGCAAAATGCGCATTACCTTAGGAGGACCCACCCCCACCCTGCAGTAGTGCTATTAGGTATTATAGGAATATAAGAGGGCTCTAATGTAGCTACGTAGTGATGGTATTACAGGAATATAAGAATATAAAAGGACCAGAATGTAGCTACCATTACCCCTTTCAGGCACAATTACAGGGTGGGGGGGTCCTCCCAAGCACTACCTCCCTGGCATGAAGCATTCTCGCTAGTTCATTTCAGGCGGCCCTGACAGTCTAGCAAGGCTTGATTACTACGGGCAGTTGGGAGGTTGCCAGGAAGGAGTCTGCAACTTTCGCTGCAGCTTTCATTTAATTTTCCACCTTCTTTGATTTTCCATTATAAGGGGATAATTATACCGGGCAATTGGGGGGTTGCCAGGAATGAGTCTGCAACTGTTGCTGCAGCGGCCTTCCTTCCAGCAAGCTCGAGCTCTAACACGGGTTGGGGCAGCTTTCTCAAAACAGGGATCCTAGGAATACAAAGGGGTTCCTGATGGAGTGTTGGCATCCCCCTTGAGGACTGTGAAAGAGGGCGAAATGGTGGGTTGCGAGCCATCTGGCAAAGGGCTGGGAGCATGCTACAATCAGACTGAAAAAGGCATTTCCAAAACAGGGGCTCACCTCACATTCTTTCAACCGTTTGGTGAAATTTCACCTTGGTCTCGAACACACTTTTCTTCAGAAGTAAATACTGGCTTCCTGCCTCTGCCTACAAGATGGAGCCTAGGGCTTAGGATATAGGATCTGTAATTTGGGCTGTAGGAGCAAGAGGGGCAATGAAGACACTGAACGCACTGAAAATAGATGTCGTACTACGACACGAGGTTGGCATTTCAAGGTTGTAGGCCCGGCTGAGGCTGCACATTTGCAAAGAGGTTGCCAATGAATCTCCGGTACAAAGTCCAAAGCCAACATGGAACTGCAAACTGCCCCGTGAAACTGTCCCCTTTCTGGCTATGCTGTTGGTTCTCAACTGTGCTCAAAATTTCGGCCCCGGTAGATCTTACTGTTTGGCCCTGATATTTACGGTTATATATTAGGGTTATATTGGGGTTATATTAGGGTTATATTAGGGTTATATTAGGGGTCTTGTTTCCGGACCTTTTCTACCTTGATTTAGGATTTAGGGTCATATGACGAACTACTTAGTACGCTGTTTTTTCATTGTTTGATAAGAAAACTATAAACTACTAGGTTTGTTACAATGACAGTCAATGACATTCCAAAGTTTCAATAAACGCCAAAGGCTCTAGCCATTGCCTGACTGAAGCTTGGGGGTGCCGCGGGAATGACACCCCAAACCCTTAAACCCTCAAACCCTTCACCCCTAAACCTTTTAACCCTAAACCCTAAACACCTAAACCCTTAATCCTTACACCCTTAACCCTGAACCCTAAAACCCTAAACTCTTAAACCCTACACCCCTTATACCCCTAAACCCTAAAACCCTTAAACCCTTAACCCCTAAACCCCCATAAACTCATGGCTGGATTCCTGAGCCGCAAGCCCTACTGCATGGACCTCAGAGCCTGAAGTTCATGTGGTCTACTCCACAGGGTCTGCAAGGTTTAGGCCAGAAAATGGAAACTGCTATAATGGGTTATATAGGGGTTTTATAGGGGTGTTATAGGGGTTTCATAGGGCTAACGGAAAAGAAAATGGAAACTCCTATTTAAGGTTTAGGGTTTAGGGGTCTGCAACTACTACCCTAGTTGCTGAGTTCCCTGGCTCCAAAAAGGTTAACCTTTGTATTATAATACATACGACTATATATACCCCAAAATGTTAAGGGTTGCCTACCCAACTACTAAGCTACAGGTAGCAGCCAAGTCATCATTGCAATCTTGGGGATTTGTGCCTGAAGCTAGTAGGTCAGTCTGTCTCCCTTCCCCGTGCAAAGCACTGGGCTCCTAATAACTGTTACTGTTAGAGACGAAAGCCCTGAACCTTAAAGCCCCAGCTACGAACCGGACATAGCTTGAGGGTGTTTTAAACCTCGAGGCTTAGGGTTTAGGGCTTAGGGCTTAAAACCCTAAACCGTTAAAACCCTTAAACACATTCAACCCTCAAACACCCTAAACCCTAAATCCTTAAAAGCCGCAAACCCTAAACCCTAAACCGCGTGGCTAGGCAACCCCCAAGGCGCCTGTGAAGTTCAGTAGTGCCGCCTTAGGTTGAGACCCATCTGAGTGGTTGTCAAAATGATGGTCCTTTTTTGGGTACCCTAAATATAGGGATTATAGGGACTATATTGGGATTCTATGGGAATAATGGAAAAGAAAATGGAAACTACTTTTTTGGCGTTATATATACCCTATTAATCCTTTTTTGGGTACCCTCAATATTAGGTGCCGTATTATAATAGGGACCCAAAAAAGGCCCATAATTTTGACAACCACGCATCTGAGCTGTAGTCTAAACTCCCTAAAAGGGGTCGGGATATATAAGGGATTTTAGACCGTTAAGGGTTTGGGATCTAAACCCCT